TTGACACATTTTCTGCCATAACTTGGCCTATAATGAAAGTAGATCCCTGAAATGTTCAAGACTCAGAATAACTGCCTCTCGTACCATAAAAGATGATCCGGATCTGATTCAGATCAAGGACTTTAGGATATTATGTGTTGTTCTGGATTTTATTTTTCACAAGGGAACTAGTTGCATGAGTGAAGTGCTCGTTTTGTATCCGTTTTTGTCATTTTGTCTTTTTTTTTAAGTTTAGCATCTCTTTATAGTTGCCTTATTGTCATTTTACATATTGTTGTAGTCATTTTACTGCCTTTGGGGTCATTTTCTGTCTCTTTTTAGTGGTTTTACATATGTTTTTTCCCCATATGATTGACTCCCCTTCATGATCTTCTGGTCTCTGGGCCTCCCGACCCATTTGGCCCCTGGGCCTGTGCCCAGTATAGGTCCATTCAGTAATCTATCCATGGCTAGGCATATCAACAATAATACTGAACTACTGATCATTTTAATCATAGATTAGTCTGCCTTTTCTTGGTTAAACTACTAATTGTTTGGTCAATTGAATGTTAGAAACTTTCCAACACATGTTCTCAGTCCAAGGTAACATTATCTTGCTATTAAATTTGTGATTAAAATTATTAGGGAAAAAAAAAACAACCAATACATTTGTGCTTAAAAATTACTTAAAAAAAAAGGCTAATTCTCTCTGGACTGACTAATCAGTTGATATATTGTTACAGCACTTATCAAATATACTAAACATAAGAAATTTACAAAATGACCCCATTTAGTGTTGTAATTTAAGAAAGCTTCTTGACCAAAACAGAATTCAATCAAAATAAGACAAAAGAACAGGACCATACAAAAACACAAACCTCTTGGTGTAATTTCAGCTTTAATAGATGCAGGCCGCCTTGTGCGACCAGAAGCCACATTTGTTTCCAAGTGAAAGTGAGACCCCTACAAAATACACCAGCTCACTGTTACAGAGAGAACAGCAGACATCTGCTGAAAGCAGCACTTCTCTCCCACTGGTGTCGAAGGCACTGCCGATGTCGGCACCTTTCAGACCCAGCTCAGCCAAAATTCACCCAAATCTGTCAATAAATAAGACTTCTAGTGACTTTAATCTGTACTAGACAGAATTAAAGGAGATGAATTTTCACAATAGACCTTTAGAGCTTCTTTCCATCCTTCCTTTGTTTCAACAAGTTTGGATGTCGCAGCTCAGGTCTGAATTGATAACCTGATTTTTTTCCCCTTAAATGTAAAACAACAGCGTGAACTTTGTGTTGTTAAGTTTAAGTGGAGCTTAAACCTGACGGTTCGCTTCACAGCGATCAGTCCCTGGGCATGACAAAAACAGCATCATTGGCAAGTTAAATCAGTAAATGGCAGGTGAGCTACACATGATGCAGATCTTTGGCATTTTACTTCACACAGTCCGGCTGTAAAAACTAGAGACGGAAAACTGAAGACAACTGATCAGAAAGTTGAGCTGACAGGAGAACGGTCTCACCACAAGGTCCTGGAGATGTCGGTCACCGCAAATGATGACATGGCAGGTTACTTTCTCAACTGCTGTTATTAAATCGCTCGCTTCTCATGTGCAGCAGTCTCAATTTCAATGATATTCACTTTACCGACAAAGAAAAGTGGCAAATCTTCACATGTGTTTGATAACTTACTTCACTGAAACAATCAATTATCAGGACAATTGGATGATTTTAGCTGCTTAACCCGCTATTTATTTCAGCTCTAGACAAAAACGTGTAAAATTCAGCCCATTGCACTTCCTTTGTTTTGCCTTGGGTTCCCATGGTCTTAATCAGCAGCTTGGGTGAAACCAGATATGAGAAAACTACTTTCTCAGTCAGTTGTTTGCATGTTCACCGCCTCTAGTTGTGCCGTGAAACAAAATCTCTAAATACATACCAAGTATCATATACATCGACACCACTGGTTCAAAAGCTTTTCAGATAAACTCATCAGTTAGGAGCAGATCTGACACCATCTGAAAAAAACAGGGCTTGTTTTCTACTTTCCAAACGGTGTCTGACTGCTGGTTTATACACGATAACATGCTTTAATGTCATACAGCCCAGCAGTGTGTACGGGTAGCACGTACACAGAGACGAAGAGGAACACGCCACAGTCGAGACCCAAACGTTTCACAGTCTACAGCTAAATCTGAGCAGAACATACTGAAGCTCGTCAAGACAAAATGTAAAATGAGCTTAAAATAACGGTTCTTCCATTTGTTAAAACAGAAAAACAAACAGTTATGAGTGGAGCTTAACATGATTTTTCAAAATAAGATTTTGGTGTATTAGATGTTAAGATAAAGGCTTAACATGATTTTTCAAAATAAGATTTTGGTGTATTAGATGTTAAGATAAAGGCTTAACATGATTTTTCAAAATAAGATTTTGGTGTATTAGATGTTAAGATAAAGGCTTAACATGATTTTTCAAAATAAGATTTTGGTGTATTAGATGTTAAGATAAAGGCTTAACATGATTTTTCAAAATAAGATTTTGGTGTATTAGATGTTAAGATAAAGGCTTAACATGATTTTTCAAAATAAGATTTTGGTGTATTAGATGTTAAGATAAAGGACAGATGGTGCTGGTGCACAGACTGAACGAGAGGAAAACGAACTCAACTCAGTATCATCTTCTGTTAGACCCAGCATGCCCGGTTCTTTCAAGATCCACATCTACAGTTTGACACAGTTGGAGCTCAAATCCTTACGTCTCTTTTTTTGCTCCCATAGTGTTAACCCAGTGTTTGATAGCAGAATAAACTAGGGTTAAAACCCCCTTAAATAAAGCTCTATATATGTGTTTCCCTCCAGTAAGAAGAGACCTCTATAATATATTTGCTCCAGGCAACACCACAAAAATATCTTTGGTTACAGCAACAACAAAAATAAAATAAGACCTATAAAAGGATCTATGCATGTTGGACACAGAAATGAGAGAATAGTCTCATGATTGGACCACTAGATGGAGTTACTGTACAACAGAAATGCACGTGCAGCACCGTCAGTTTGACTTCATTCAGTAGCTGCAGCCTGATTTTTAGGCCTGCTTGCCCAGATGATTGTGATTTCTCTGTCTGTTTCTTCAAATACCAGAAAAACTGCAGAATGAAAAACCAAGTGCCAGATATGTTCTATAAATCTACAGCATTTAAAACAAGTCTCTTTGGTCTGTAAGCCTTAAATGATAAATTACATTTTCTAAAGGAGACTGCATATATTTAAGGTGCCTATTTACCTGCATCACCATCAAAAGGCCTTTATGACCTTAAAAGGAGCCTTTCAGTGACTCCACCTGCACACAAACACCTTAAATTTGTACTGGTGTACCTTCTTCTGCACTTGCTGATTCATATTTATCTTAAATCTTATCCTGTACTGTGCATTCCCTCTACTTTCCTTTCCTTGTTTCCCTCTAATACATTTCCTGATCATCCACCAGGGGAAAAAGCTGAAACCCAGGGTGACAGGGAGGTCAAAGCTGCACGTTTTAACTTGAGATAAGAGCACAAACAGGCATTTAAACGAAGGCCTGCCAACAGATAATGCTGTAAAAAACAGAGTGGGACAATGCAGCCATTTCTCCTCCTGTCCTCTGCAGCTATCAGCACTTACAGGCCTCCTTTCCTCTTAGCTTCTTTCATAAAGGCAAAACATGTACAAGCATTTAATCGCTTTGACTTGTGCTTTGAGGAAAATCCTGTCATTGCCCCCCAGGGTCATGGTCACAATCTGTCTCACGTATTTTTTCTTCTGGTTACTTCTAAAATGAAACCGATCCATTTTTTCCCCAACTCCCTCAATCTAATGTTTCTTTTCTACTTCCTCTGTACCGCTCAGTCAACTTACAGAAACTGTTCTCACTCTGACCACGCAGGGCCAGAAGTCTCATCTAACCAAATCACACCAGGCTGTTCAGTTGATGCTTCGTCAAACTCTCCTACTGGTATGAAAACAAAGGCTTTAAATCCCATCAGCCCATCATCGTCGTCGTCCTCACTCACCACAGCAAACAAGAAACTGACTTTACAAACTGCAGCCAAAGCAAACTACTTCCCTGATACACTCATCTTGTACTTTTTTCGATTACAACCCAAGTCTGTATCTGTGTGTTTTCACTCAAATTAAACCTGAAATGTACCCTTTTCTACTCTCTCTGCAACATTCAGTCTCAGGCCTACGCTCTATGGAGTCTTTAGTGTGCAGTAAAAATAAAAGACTCATAATGAGAAAGGTAATGGCAAAATAAAATGCAAATATAGGCTAGAACAAACTAAAAGTTGCACTTAAATATTTTTAGACCCGTTTGGAATCTGAATGTCTATATTGTATACGTACATTAAAGTAGATAAAACCAGGAAAATTATGGAAAACATTTTGTTGCTTCACAAGACATGCAATGGATGGCATTCGATGAAAAATTACTCAAAGAGATAAAGATTAGCAAATAAATCTCTCAAAAATGCTTATTTATAATGGAATCACTCAATTTGAATAAGTGTAAAGCTTTGTTTCCCATTGAGAAATGTTTATGCTCACTAAACAAAAATTGTAACATTACTAATTATTAGGTGACAAACGTGAAGACTCTTTTTAGTTCCACCATTTAAATGCAAATTCAATTAATTATCTTTAAATGCATTCGTTTTTAGGTATAAACACCGGTGACTTGTCTGTTTTATTCTAATATTTTGCCGTCTTTCTGTTCTATTAAAGCAACAAAAAAAGTAAAAATAAGATTTTTAAAAAATGTTTTGTTTAT